TGAGATAGGAAACCAAGGGAACTGACATTAAATAAGGCAAACGGAATAGTTCTCTGGAGACATGATATTTAAACTAACATTTTCAGAATAAGGAGGCCAGTCATGAAAAAACTGGGGGTGGGATGGGGGCAGTGGGGGAAGTGCTCTAGGCAGAAGAAACAGCATGCAAAAAATTTTTTTTATCATGTTTGAGAAATTGAGAAAATACTACCAGTTCAGCAATTTTGCCAACAAGGAATGATGGATTTCCAAAGCTAAGAGGTAACACGTTCCTTGATATAATCAGAATTATCATCACTAGTATTTAATATTGTTCCACAGTGTAGGCAGACAGTAATAATAATATCACACAGTACTTTCCAGGACCATAAGAAATAAAGCCTGTGCTAGACTGAATCAAATTAAGCCAGGTATGGAATCCACTCCTAAACTCAATGATAGGCTCAATAATACAAATTTAAATAAGCAATTAATTGTAGTGATAATTAATATAGCTCTTTGCTTATTCACTTAATGACTAGTTACTGATTTTCTTTTATGCTATTAGTGCTTGGCACTATAGTCATTGCTGTGGGAATAGAAGGATCTAATGACAAAAATGAGAAAGATAGAAATCAGAGTTAGAAGAGTATTTTGCTATTTCCCATTAACCCTGGAGTTAGTCTTTTGCCTAGAATTGGAAGAGTATTTTGCTGTTTCCCATTAACCCTGGAATTGGCCTTTTCCCTAGAAAAAACATGGTCTGCCTTAGCAACTTAAATTTTTTAAAATTTATTTTTCATAAAAATTGTATATACTTAAGGTGTACAAACATGGTTTTGCTATCTGTATACATTGTGAAATGAATACCAAAATCAAACTAATTAACATATCCATCACCTCCCATAGTTACTGTTTTGTTTGTGTGTGTGTGATGAGAATATTTGAGCTCTACCCTCTTAGCAAATTTCCAGTATATAATACATTATTATTAACTATAGTGACCATGCTGTATGTTAGATTTCCAGAACTTATTAATCTTATAACTGAGAGTTTGTACCATTTGATCAATATTTCTCCTTTTCTCCCACCCTTTTCCCTCAGCCTCTGGTAATCACCATTCTACTGTTACTATGAGTTAAACTTTTTTTTTTTTTTTTTTAGATTTGACATATGAGATCATGTCTATGTGTGTTGGATTTATTTCACTTAGCGTAATGTCCTCCAGGTTCATTCCTTCTGTTGCAAATGGCAGGGTTTCCTTCTTTTTAAAGGCTGAATAATATTCCATAATGTGTGTGTGTAATTTTATTTATCTATTTATCTGTTGACATTTAGATTGTGTCAATATTTTGGGTACTGTTAATAATGTGCCTTAGCAAGTTTTGAAGGGTCTGTTTAACATGACCAGTTCTACCTCATGAAACATGTAGACCATCTTGGCTCAAAGTGAATCACCTCATCAAATAATGGCCACAAGTCAAGTATAAGTCCTTCGTATTTATTCTACGGGTATATTTTTTTCTGCTTTATGGGTAACTCCAAACTCTATCATTCTCACTAATAGATAATGCAGCTACCACTACTTCATGTTCACCAAATAATTCATTCCATGATTCTCTAGGTAATTTTTTTCTGCCTTTAGGATATTTAAAGGAACCTTTTATTATAGATTTTAGTGATTTTTCCCAAGTCCTTGTCCCTCATCTGTTATTTGGTAGTGTTTCCTCTTTTTATTTGGGCAATTTTCCCGATTCTGTTCTTTTCTCTCTTATTCTGTAAGTTAGTTACATAGAAATTTTGTCTAATTACCTGTATATGCTTACATCATATTGTTTTAAAAATGTCTAAAGGCTCCTTTTGGGATTTTTACTTCTTAAAATTTATTTCAATTTCTTCTCTTCATGAAGTCACATTTAATCTATTACCATATCTAAAATTTAATGGTAAAATAAAATAATTTTTTCTCCTGATATTATGTTTCATCATTGGTAATCAACTATGCTTGTTGAGAGAATACATGCCTGTTCATTTATTTATCACATGATCGTTCTAAAATTGAAAATGAAAAACAATGTAGAAAATAAGTTAGTTTACTTCTTTTGTGTGTGTGTGTGTATCTTAAAATTACTTGGTCTACAAAGGAGCATGTTAGAAAGTTACTTGAGAATGTGTTCCAGCAAATTATGGTATAGGACAAAATGAAAAAAGGAATGGTATGGGAGGCAAGGGACTGTGGCTCCAACTCCAAAGAACAATGAAGGGAAGTCCCAGGATGCCAGTGTGCATCAGGCCTAATAGGTAAATAGTACCTACTGATGAAAGAAAGAGGTCTTAAAGGCAAACAAAAGGGACTCTATTATATAGACACTGAATAAAAGAATGGAAAACTTGAGAATGTGGTAAAAACATACAAGAAAAATACTGGCAAATAAGCAAAAAAAAAAAAGTAAAAAAAAAAAATGACTGTGATTTTCAGCAATTAATGGAAATAAACTTGGTGCTATGAACATTTTCCTTTGAGTACTACTAGGGATAGAACTGACACTGTCAAAGCATAACTGGCAAATAATGGAAGGAGACTGTCTCTAGGAAAAAATACTTTAAAAAAGCCCACAATAACCAACAAATCTGTGACCATAATGTGAGTGGATAGTGTAAACTTAAATGTAAAGCATAAATAGATAGATAATAATAATGCCAAAACGACCATAATAATATATATTTTAAAATTCATTAGCATATAAATAATTTGACCCTTTTTAAAAGGGAAACTATAGAGACAAAAAGATTAATGTTTAAAAAAGAAATTTTTATATGTCTTTACATAGCATTGTAGGATAACAGAAAATAAAATATAATAAAAGTGTATTGGGAATATACTGCCTTTTAGAATTTTTTTTTTTTATCCTCACCCGAGGACATTTTTCCATTTTTTGTTCAGGTAGAGTGGGAGAGAGAGAGAGAAAAACATCGACGTGAAAGGGACACATCGAGTGGCTGCCACCCGCACAACCAACCAGGGCCAGGGACAAACCGCAACTGAGGTACATGCCCTTAGCGGGAACCGAACCCGGGTCCCTCTGGAGCGCAGGCCGACACTCTAACCGCCGAGCCAAACTGGCCAGGGCCTGCCTTTTAGAATTTTAAACCAAAATTTCCCTTTTATATTTCCTACATCAAAATTCACATAAGTGTTTGATGAGAGAAGACACATATAGAGCCTATTATTTAACAGAGCAGGTCAGTTACTAGAGAAGACAAATATAGAGCCTATTATTTCACAGAGCAAGTCAATTGGAGCCTGGACGGTGTGGTTCAGTGGTTGAGCATTGAGCTATGCACCAAGAGTTTACTGGTTCGATTCCTGGTCAGGGCACATGCCCAGGTTGTGGGCCCAATCCCCAGTGGGGGCATGCAGGAGGCGGCCAATCAACGTTCTCTCTCATTAATGTTTCTATCTCTCTCTCCCTCTCCCTTTAAAAATCAATAAAGAAAAAAGAAAGTAAAAAAATAAAAAACAGAATGGACAAATATTTATTAATCAACAAAATAAATAAGCTTAACAGGAAAAGAAGCATTATGTGACAGACACCATGATAATTATTTTTACATGTGTTCTCAACTATTCCCAATATTACCTTTTTTGTTCTACATAACAGTCCCTTGAAATAGATGGTAGTAATTCAAATAATTAATGACAAACTGAGACTTAAAGAGATTAAATAACTTGCTCTAACCCATGAAGCTGGAACTTTAACCTAGATCTCTAACTCCAAAGCCCATGATCTTTTCCACATATGACTATTCATCTTTATTGAACATTTATCATGTGCGTTTTATAGGCTTCAGGAGCCAAAAGGTAGGAGAAAAACAAAAGCACACAAATACAAAACAAAAATAAGTTTTATTAAATAATTTCAAGTACACCAGACAATGAAAGAGTTAATATACAAAGAAATATACGTCAGAAAAAAATTATAGGCAAACAATTTTGTATTCCCCACATGGGATTTGCAACATATACCTAATGATGTAGTTAATAAATTCTAGGGCTTTTCTGCCATTTGGGTATTGTAGAACTATGGACAAGGTAGCAAAATCAACAATAAAAAATGGCCCAACTATTCTGAGTTAAAAATATATCTAATTACGAAAATCTTGAAAAATGTTATTTAGTGATTGGATGGTTTGCATTTTTACTTTATTTTCCAGCTCATACTAGAGAACATTTTTTATGGCAATCATTTATAAAATTTTTTTTCTTACATTTCCACTATTATCATATTCCCCCCACCCCTCCATTTTTCTGATTCAATGAATGAGGATGGTTCATGCAGAAAAAGAATATAGAAATAAATAATAAACTAAAATCTCTATTAGAGACTAAATATTAATTGGTAATCTTTTAAATTATCATGAAATGATACAAAAATGAAGAAGATAATACATTTTACAGTCATTTTAAGAAATGTATATGAGCCCTGGCCGGTTTGGTTCAGTGGTTAGAGCGTCAGCTTGTGGTCCAGAGAGACCCGGGTTCAGTTCCCGATAAGGGCACGTACCTTGGTTGCAGTTTGTCCCTGGCCCTGGTTGGGTCATGCGGGTGCAACCACTTAATGTGTCCCTTTCATGTCGATGTTTCTCTCTCTCTCTCTCTCTCTCTCTCTCTCTCTCTCTCTCTCTTCTACTCTCTCTCCCTCCCACTCTATCTGAACAAGAAATGGAAAAATGTCCTTGGGTGAGGATTAAAAAAGAAAAGAAACGTATATGACACTGTAATCAGTTCTATAACAGAAAAAGATGATTATGGTCACAGCCAATAATCTAGATACTAGACTACCATGTTTGTGCTTTAGGTAATAAACAATTATGAAATATAAAAGCCACATAAATCTTGATCAATGTTTTATAGATATAGCATTTCATGACTTAGATTTATAAAATGCTAAAAAGTAGAGGAACCATTAATTTATAACGACTTTCAACATCTACACTCTGAATAAGATACAATTACTTACTTTTTTCTCCGGTTTGACTCCACAAAATATTTACGTGCTCGATTTCGACATATTTTTTGTTGCTGTAGTAATATTTGGCGCTCTTCTTCAAAATTTTTCTCTAGCTGGATTTTCATATTTCTAATGATAGAATAAAGTTAAGGGCAATGGTTTATGTCTTTAGTGAAAGAGTGTCAGTGCTATATGATAAATACAATTATAGCCTCACATTAATGACATAATGATCTTTTGTGGAATAATTAATATGTGTACACATTAGTGTTAGCATATGACCAGCAAATGTTTTATGTAAAAAAAATTCTGACTTGGTATTGGAATTGAAGATATATCTCATTTTCTCTGGAAAAAAAAAATTACTTTTAGATATCGTGAGCTCAGATAAGGAGACTGTGTATCATTTCATTTATTACACAGATATTTGAGTACTGATGAACAAGTTACTATCTTAGGCATATATACAGGAAAATGAAGGTTATATTTTACTAATAGACAGTAGATGAACTATACTTTTCAGCAGATTTTAGGATCCTTTCAGTATTAATATAAAAAACTTTATATATTTCAGAACAATCATATTTATTTGAAATTTTGGGTGTTTGAAACTTTGCTAATGGGAGCTTATTCATTCTCAATTATATTGCTATTTAACCAACTTTGTACCATTGACCATAATTTGTCATTTTATTATAAAAGTTTGCACCACCTCAACACATATACCCCACTCCCACAGATTTTTAAAGTTTTTTTTTTGAAGGATTTATAAAAATGAAACAAAAGGGAAGGAAATCTTGTTCTTTGCTAGCACAGAAATACCTAAAGATTTATCCTGTTATTCTCTAATATAGTACTTTATGAGGAGTCAGACTTCAACAAGACGGCTAGCTACTAAAAGCCACAACAAGGCAGTGGAGGGAAGTACTAGTTCCTTTCAGGGCACACAAGAGCAACAGTGATGGGGGGCAGGGGGAGAATTGCTTTGTCTCACGTGAAGCAAGCCAATTCTCTTTGTTCAACAAGGTTGAGAGCTCATTGTAAGAACATAAAGAAAATCACAAATGTCATGTTTGTAATCTTTTGACAATTATATATTCTTAAATTTAATCAAATGACTCCAAATTTACATGTATAAATATTTGTTTATATAAAAAAATTAAAAATGTGCATTATATACACATTTTTGCCTGCTGAATTATAAAGAACGTTGCTGCCTTTCATTTTTTCAAAGTATGCTCTTCAAGTTTAGAAAATATTAAATGGTTGGTTAAATATTTGTTTTTCCTACAAGCTGTAATGTATAGGTAAGATATTTCCAAAAGAATCACTGTTAAATACCTGTTCAAAGGAAGGTAATTTTTAAATTCTTAACATTAAAAAACAAACAAAACCAAGAATACTATGGGCTGTAGAATTAAGTAACACATAATGATAATGTAAAAACAGTCTAATCTACTTAACCTTATCCTCATTTCTCCCTCCCAATTTAGCCTTTCTCCAACTGGAGTTCCTTTAGGTTGTTTTAACTGTTACCATAAAAAACAACTATATATCATACAACCCATATTACTGCCACATTTATTACAGCTATCCTGATTCTTTTTCTTTTCTGTAACCTCTTCTATAGCTTTGGCTCAGGCATTCTAAATCTTGCCTGGACTCACTCAGTAGTCTTCTAACTCATCTCTTCACTTCTAAACTTGTCATCCTCTCTTAAAGCCAGCTAATTACAAATATGATTGGGTATTTCATTCTTTGTTGTTCTCCAAAAGCTCCTATCATATTTATGACAAATTCCAAATTTCAAGCTTTCTTGGAAAAGCTTGCTGTAATTTTAAACATTATTTCTTAACATGTCCCTGCATGAATCCTATGATCAGCCACACAAGGATACTTACTAACAGAACATGCCATGATGTATCATGCCACTATCTCTTGGCACATGCTTGGCTAACTTGATTCATCCTTTCAGGGTGCAAAGAACCAAGGATGTTGGTGAGAGAATATGTGCAGGTAATCAAGAATAGGGTATAAATTGGGTAGGGAATAAAGAGACAAAGTGGGTGCTAGGATAAAACTGGAAGGGAAAAAGACTGGAGATACTTATGAGAAAAAAGAGGCATAATGTGAAGGGTACATGAGACAATTCACTTAAGCTCATTTTAATTAGCAGAACATTATAAAATTTTGTTCTTTTATAGCACTTAAGAGTCAAGAAATTTTGACTCAAATAGCTGGATGTCTGTCAGTACTGGCTTCATATTTGAAAATCACATGTAGAAATTTTAGCAAGTTACTTGATTTTTTAAAAGACTACAGATCTTTCATTTTTTCTCATTTAGTCATTCATTCAAATAAATTTGAGCATTACAGATACAAAGAAAATCCAAATTAATATTTATAAAAGGTGCTTAAGTGTTACTTCAACTAGTAACATGACATTCTTGATCTGGTGTCATAGTCTTTATTAAAAAATAATTCCTTTATTCCACTGAAATATATATACACACTAAATAATTCCTTTGTTCCATTGAAATATATACACACACTATATATTTTATATATACTAACAAAAATAGATATGTAGATACATATTTATATAAATAGATACTAGGAAAAACTGTTGGGTTTTATCAAAGCCCCTTGGGCATCTATTAAAACGATCATTTACAGCTTTTCAAATTTCAACCATATGTTTAGTATTTAAGTATATTTTTAGTAATATATAGCTTTATAGGAAGCCATCATTACAATTTGGGAATTAAGTCTTTTTGGTTTTGTTCATTCGTGGTACTGCTAAATTTCTTTGATGGTTCTATCAACATTCACGCCACATAAAATTAAAAGAATTCAGTCTATGACCATTTCATTAATGAAAATGATGGAAATACATACTTTTTCAATGAACCATTTACAATGCTTCCCTATTTTTAAATTTAGAGATAAATCAGGGTCAGAGTAATAGGAGTTTAGTGTCCATGAAAATACAGTGTCAAGGGGACAGAATCAAATCCATACTGAGAACAATATTGCTTATTTCAGATCCATCTTTGAGAGGACTGGTTTTGGGGAGTAGCAAAGGCAAAAGCCAGAGTGGGGTCAATAGTGAACAGATAAGAGGATCTAGAAGGAGCTATTGCAGGCTAACATTCTGAGAACTTAGCCAAAGAAAGAAAAAACAAAAGGGATAGAAGCTTGAGGAAAGCATGATAAGAGGAGAGCTATTTTAACAAATATGAAGCACTGTACATATACCTTCTTCACTAGATTTTTATCCTAGAACAGAGACTGCCAAAAAGCAGGCACTAAATTAGTTTGTCAACTTGCTGTTAAAATGGCAACATTCCAGAAGTAGAAGATAATGTGGATAAAACCGGGTAAGACACTCTGTTCCCTGACACCATCACTCTCAACCAAGTCCTTTGAGAGTACGAAGGTTAAATGCTAATTATCGTAACATTCTCTAAAAGAATAAACATGGTCTACATATTTTAAAAATTAAACTCTCACTTTTTGAATTTTCTACAATGCAATCAACAGCTACATCAAAGGTGAGCTCGACCAATTCTTGGGGAAAGGTCAGTGATAATCCGGCATGAAGCACCCAGGTCCTTTGCTTCTTCTGTTCTCTCTGCTGTCTCTCTGACAACAGATTGGAAAGCAAAACAAAACACCCAACTGCACTAGGCTTTAGCAATTCTGGTAAAAGAATTAGCAATATGTTAGGTGAACCGTTAATACGCACTCTTTCAATATTGTAAAAGCATATGGCATAATTCCAGAAGGCAAGAAAACAATCTCCACCGAACACACAGTTTATGTATTTTAAAACTCGCAAATATTTCACACCTCAGTTGAAGAAGGGGGTGATACAGCAAGCTGCCGGGGGAAGAGGTCGTGGGATACAATGTATAATTTCAGGTCTAAGGGGGAGCAAGGACGGTGCTAAAGCAAACACCCGCACTAAGATGACTGGCTAGTTTCTATTACCCAGCGTCGGCGGTAACGGGAATCTGAGAAAAAAGATGGGCCCCGCTCCAGCACGCTACCCCGGCAGCCGGGCTGGGAAGGAAGGATACAGGTAAGCGCCAGCTCGGTGATGCCCGCCGCTCAACCGAGGGTTGAGGGGGGCTCTGTCGCGGGTGTCCGAGGATTCAGTGCCCAGTCTCGGGACTGCGCTCCGGACTCCGGGCCTCCCGGTCAGCATCCTTCACCGCAGCACCGCCTCCGGGCTCGCCCTTAGCGCCTCCCTCATGGCAGCTCCGGCTTCTTCCTTCTCCTCCTCGTCCTCCTCGGCCCCTCCCTACACTCGGTCTCCAAGGTCCTGAGTCACGGGCGCGGAAGGCTTGACCGCAGCAGCTCTGGTTCGCGCTCAGCGGCGTTGGTGGCGACCGCAGCTGCGGCGGCGAACTTGCCTGGCGATGGGAGAAGTGGTTGCGGCGACCCCACCGCCGCCGCCATCTTGACAACCAACCGACGCCGCGTCCTTCGCGACAGAAACCAGGGTATCGAGGCGGGGCGGGACAGGCGTCCGAGACAGCCAATCGGAGGCTCTGGCGGCCCCCGCCTGCTCCAAGTGCCCAGCTGGCGGCGGGTGGGAACTAGCATCTCCAGGGACCCGCGTTTTTGCAGGGGTGCCGAATTCAATTGTGCGTTAGAACCTGACGCAGTTCTGCCGTCCTTTTTATGAGATTTTTTTGTGGGGGTATTGAGAGTGATGAAAGACAGATGCAAAATCCCCAGATATAGGCACCGTGGGGATTCTAAAATGTTTTCCTCGGGATAATTCAGGGTAGAGTTGTTTCACTACCTATCCTGTTGTGTGGTTTGAGTATTAGGTCTTTTGGGGGCATCACTACCTGCAAACACCATCTCTTTTTAAAAAGCTTCTGAAATGGAAATGTGTTTTCTCTGCATTCTCTCGCCTACTCTCTACTTCTGCCATTCCCTCCGCAGGCGTCTTCCTGGCCATTTCCCTACATAAAGGGCTTACATTTCAAAGCCTCCTAATGGGGCCTGCCTTGCTGCCGGATTCTGGAAATAGACCATTACAGACAGCATCGGTGGCCTGGAAAAAAGTCCCGATTTAAACTAGTAATCTCCTGGGAAGATATGCCGAAAGAGATCATACTGAAATTGTTTCAGGAGGTATGGAAAATTGAATGGATTTTCGAGTCATCAATTTAATGGATATGTAAGTGAAAATTTGGAAAAAGGCTGAAACTTTCAGTTGGAGCCCATTATTCAAGTACATATAAATTCTGACTGTATTTCAGCCAGTATTTATATTTATTTTTTTTGGTGGAAAAATTTCCAGATTGGAAGTAGAATATACAGACCAAATAAAAACCACACATCCATTATTTAACTGTTTCTGCCTTTGTGAATCAATTTGTTCATTTTTAGAGTTCAAATAATATACTTTTACAGTTGAAACTATTTAAAACGGAGTTTTTGCAAAGTTGGATGCATTGACTAAAAAAAAAATCTGGTTACTGAGATTTTAAAGTGCCACAAATCCAGTTTTTGTTAAAAAAATATATTTTTATAGATTTTAGAGCGAAAGAGAGAGAAGTTGATACGACTGGGAACAGAACCGGCAACCTTTTGGAGTGTGGGATAACACTCAACCAACTGAGCCACACTGGCCAGGGCCAGATCCAGTTTTGATATAAAACTCAAAACACATAAGACCCTTTCAAGACAAGGCCAAGAGGATATATATAATTCTGGCAGAGAAAGGCTAAATATGTACACTTGGACGATTAACTAGGCAAGTTTTTAACTGGCCTAGCCACAGGCATTGACCTTGATTCTATTCCCATTGCCATTATTACAAGTCTGTTTCTCTATGGCCAATTAGAGCAATGGGGTTGGGGTGGGGTTGGGGGGTGGAGAGCGCAAAGTAGGGTAGTGCATAGTGAAAATAAAAGGGAGAAGGTTGTGGTTGCTGTTTGGAGTATTTAGGCATTTTTAGCCTTCCTGAAAGTCTAGCTTTTGCTAATTATTTAGTTTAATATCTCATAAACCCTAGGCACCTTACTGCTTTTTTGCATAGTATATTAGCATTGAGAAGCATGACCCATTGCCTACAAATATTTGCTCATATAAGAAATCTTCATTTATCTGTTGCTTTACAATAACCAAGAAGAAAATAAATTTTAAACACAATGTTGCCAGCTTTTTAAAATAATTCACAGGAACTACTTTTTTGGTCTTAAAGTTATTTCTTCAAAATATTAAGCAGATTTTCCACATTTTATTAAATTTGTACAGTCCTAAATTCTAAAAAAAAAAAGAAGTTTTAATATTAGATAGTTGGATAATAGAAAGATAATTTGAATTATTTATAAACTTTATCTCTTGATAGGAAAGGCAAATATAATTGAAGCAATAAAAAGGAATATACTGCCCTGGCCAGTTTGGCTCAGCGGTTAAGCGTGGGCCCTCTGATCAAAGTTTGATTCCTGGTCAAGGGCAGTACCACAGTTTCAGATTCGATCCCCGGCCCCTGTTGGGGTCTGTGGGAGGATATGTCTCCCTCACATCGATGTTTTTCTCTCTCTCCCACCCTCCTTCCCTCCCACTCTATCTTAAAAAAAAGAAAAATCAACAGAAAAATATCCTCTGGTGAGGATTAAAAAAAGAATATACTAAAATCTTTGTTTTGTCAAAAGAGACATTCATATTAAATATAATGCTCAATTCCTTCACACTCCAAAGCCTTCACACTTTTCAGGTGCTGGGGATTCAGTGGTGGACAAAACTTCCAAGTCCCCATGCTAATGAAGCTTGTATTTATATTTTCTTCCCCACCAGAATATATCATGTAGTGAAAAGTGCTACAAGGAAATATGAATAGTGTAGGGAGATAGAGACTGATGTCCATTCTACTTTAGGTAGAGTTCCTTCTACTCAGGGAAGTCCTCTGAGAAAGGGAGGTCTGAATGAAGAAAGGAAGTTGCCATTCAGATACCCGAATGAAGAATATTGTAAGTGAACGGTGCTGTAAGTACAAAAGGCTTTGAGGGCAGTGTTTTATTTGATGTGTTCAAAGAACAGCAACAATTTCTTCATATGTCTCTTAGCCATTTGTATGTCCTGTTTGGAGAGGTGTCTATTTAGTTCCTCTGCCCATTTTTTAATTGGGTTCTTTGTCTTCCTTTTGTGGAGTTGTATGAGCACTCCATATATATTGGAAATTAATCCCTTATCTGATATATCATTGGCAATTATGCTCTCCCATACAGTGGGTTGCCTTTCCATTTTGGTGGTGGTTTCTTTTGCTGTGCAGAAGCTTTAGAGTTTGATGTCCCATGTGTTCATTTTCCCCTTTGTTTCTGTTGCCTTAGGTGATGTATCAGTGAAAATTCTGCTGCGTATGATGTCTGAAATTTTGTTGCCTACAGTTTCTTCTAGGATTTTTATGGATTCATGAGTTACATTTAAGTCTTTTATCCATTTTGAGTTTATTTTTGTGTATAGGGTAAATTGATGGTCTAGTTTCATTTTTTTTTTTTTTTTTGCATGTAGCTGTCCAATGTTCCCAACACCATTTATTAAAGAGGCTGTCTTTACTCCACTGTATGCTCTTACCACCTTTGTCAAATATTAATTGAGCATATTTTCTTGGGTCCATTTCTGGGTTCTCTGTTCTGTTCCACTGGTCCATATGCTTGTTCTTGTGTCAGTACCTGGCTGTTTTGATTACAGTAGCTTTGTAGTATAACCTGAAATCTGGTAATGTGATCCCTCCTACTTTGTTCTACTTTTTCAAGATTGCTGTGGCTATTCACTAATCATCAGAGAGATGCAAATTAAAACAACAATGAGGTATCACCTCACACCTGTCAGAATGGCCACCATCAACAAATCATCAAACAACAAGTGTTGACGACGGTGTGGCAAAAAGGGGACTCTAGTACACTGCTGGTGGGAATGCAGACTGGTGCAGCCACTGTGGAAAACAATATGGTGTTACCTCAAAAAATTAAAAATTGAACTGCCATTTGACCCAGTGATCCCACTTCTAGAAATGTACCCTAAGAAGCCTGAAACACCAATCAGAAAGAATATATATACCCCCATGTTCATAGCAGCACTATTTACAATAGCTAAGATCTGGAAACCGCCCAAATGTCCATCAGTAGACGAATGGATAAAAAAGCGATGGTACATATACACAATGGAGTACTATGCAGCTGTAAGGAAGAAAGATCTCTTATCCTTTGAGACAACATGGAAGGACCTGGAAAGTATCATCCTAAGCGAAACAAGCCAAACAGAGAAAACAAGTATCATATGATCTCACTTATTTGTGGAATATAATGAACATAACAGTCTGAGGAATGGGGTAGTCCCAGAGACATGGAAGTGGGATACAGACTGACAATCCCCAGAAAAGGGGGTGGGGGGGGGAGAGATAAACCACAGAACTTATATGCATGTATGCATGGACAACAAAGCTGGGGACAGGGCGGGGAGGGGAAGGGAGGGAGAATCAGTGGGGGAAAAAGGAGAAACTTCTGTAACAAAAATAAATAAATTAATTAAAAGAAAAAGAAAAACCAAAAACAAAGAACAGCAACAAGACTACTGTGTCTAGAACAGAGTGCGGTAGGAGAAGTGTGCTATGAGACTGAAGTGCATGAGGGATGTACTTCAGATTCAGTGGGGGATTTATACAATATGCTAGAAGTTAATATAAAATACAACTTCCAATGGAGGGAATGCCATTGGAGAATTTTGAGTAGGACAGTAATATAATTTTATTTACCTTTAAAAAGGATCACTCGCCTGGCTGGTGTGGCTCAGTGGATTGAGCACTGTCCCATGGACTGAGAGGTCCCGTTCCCAGTCAGGGTATCGGGTTTTGGACTCGATCCCCAGTAAGGGGTGTGCAGGAGGCAGCTGTTTCTCACATTGATGTTTCTATCTCTCTCTCCCTTCCTGTCTTTCTAAAAAATCAATAAGGACATATTTAAAAAAACAAAAAAATAAATAAAAAGGATCACTCTAGCTGCTGTGGGGAAATTTAGACTATAATTGAAACGACTAGACACAATGAAGCTAGTTTGAATCTTATTATAGTTGATTGGGTGAGAGATATAGAGACTTGGACTACAATGATAGTAATGGGAGTGGCAAGAAGTGTTAAAAAATTTAATCTTGAGTCAATGAGATGTATTTGATGAGTGGTTGTGGTGAGTTGGGGGGAAAAAGAGTCAAATGTGACTCAGATTTGGAACTGAAACAAGTGAACAAAAGGTATTGCCATATTCTGAGATAGGGAAGGATAGGTTGAGGGTGGAAGAAAGAATAAGATTTAGGCTTCAAACATGTGAAATGTGAGGCGCCTATTAGACACCCAGCTGTATTAACATGGTCTCGTAAATTGTCACCTATGTTCTATTACAGAAGAAACTAATAACCACTTTATGACTACAGTGCATGTTTCATAACTTATCTAATTTGAATACTGCTACAATCTTGTTAGTTCTATGGTAAGGCTGTCTGTGATGAACCATTTACTGAAGTTTTACTTTTATCTTGGCTGAGGCTATTTTTTTCCATCTTCTGGTGAAATATTTTTTTGCTCAAGGAAGAATTTTCTCAATTTGTCTCTGGACAAGATGTGAAAGAACAAGAAATTTTAATATCTGGCTGATTGAATTTTTTTTTTTTAATTGCTAAAGTTCTGCCATCTTCATTTCAATTTTATAAGACATCAACTAGAGATGTAAGATTAAAGATAGTCATCTATTCCTAATATAATTTCCAAAAGTCATTTATATTGTTAGCAACCTTAGAACTGTATTACACATCAAGTCAAATAATAATAATGACACCAGCTAACATTCGAGTGCTTGTTGTTTTCTATGTATTGTGCTAAGTGCTTGCGTACATTAAATCATTGGACCACACAACGATCCCCATTATACAAAGGAAATAATTAAGCTACAGTGATATTAAGTAACTTTGCCCATTTCCAGAGCAATGGAGTGGGGGAATCAAGATTCAAACAGAGCTTGTTCTCCCAACCACCCTGTATTGCCTCACTGGAGAAACTCTGAGAAATTCTCACTAGGTTAAGAGATGAGATCTTTGGGTTTAAATAATAGGTGGTGAGAAAATAAAGTCAGATAATAGAGAATTAATTTAGGATTTTACTTCATTAATTTATATTTGAGTGCCTATTATATACTAATCACTATGTTAGAACTGTAAAAACTTTGGTCTCTGCCCTGTCATTCTCAGGCTAGGAAAATAAATGGAGAAAATAATACCTGAACAGAAAGCAAGACTCAGGAAACTTTTGCTTTGTTTCTAAATTTTAAGATAGAGAAGACTTGGGCATGTTTACATGATGAAGAGGCATTGTATGGAAGAATGAAGACATTGATCTATCAACTTTCAGAGGTGGTAATTTTCAATAACGATAATTCCCTTATGTTCAAAAATTTTAAAGTTTTAACAATATAGATGTGAAACATACAAATCAATTAAAGTCCTAGAAATTTGACATTTGTGCAGTTAATACGACGATGATCACTGATAGCAAAGTTCAGTTAGAAGCATATTTTAACTCTGAATTATCTATCTGCTCTGGATGTCCACACTGATTAAATTTCTACTTAGCATTTTGTAGAAATAGTTCAAATGTAAAATTATTCCCACACCATCATTTATTTCAACTTTCTTATTATTTTATTTATATTTTAAATGTATTTTTATTGTTGAGAGTATTACAGATGTACCCCATTTTTCCCTCTTTGCCACCCTCCACAGGCTCCTGCCCCACCCCAGGCCTTCACCTCACCATTGTCTGAATCCATAGGCTATGTGTATATGCATATATGTTCTTAGGTTAATCTCTTCCTAACCTCCCCTCTTCTCTCTGAAATCTGTCAGTCTGTTCCATGCTTTCATGTCTATGATCCTATTTTGTTAGTCAGTTTATTTTGTTCATTAGATTCCACATATAAGTGAGATCATGTGATATTTGTCTTTCTCTGACTGGCTTGTTTCACTTAGCATAATCAATTCCAGGTCCATACATGCTGTCTCAAAGAGTAATAAATTCTTCTTTTTTACTGAACAGTATTCTGTTGTGTAAATGTATCACAGCTTTTATCTACTCGTCTACTGATGGACACTTGGACTGTTTCCAGATCTTAGCTATTGTAAACTATGCTGCTATGAACATAAAGGTGCGTATATTCTTTCTGGTTGGGATTCTTATGATATATTTCTAGAAGTGGGATCAATGGGTAAAATGGCAGTTCCATTTTTAATTTTTTGTTTTTCATAATGGCTGCACCAGTCTGCATTCCCACCAGAGGTGTACTAGGGTTCCTTTTTCTCCACATCTTCATCAGCACTTGTTGTTTGTTGATTTATTAATGGTAGCTATTTTGGCAGGTGTGAAGTGGTACCTCATTGTGGTTTTAATTTGCATCTCTCTGATGATTAGTGACATTGAGCATTTTTTCTGTATGTCTCTTGACCATTGGTATGTCGTGTTTGGAGAAGTGTCTATTCAGTTACTTTGCCCTTTTTTTTTTTTTTTTTGGTGGTACGTGCCCCTAGCAGGAACTGAACCCAGGACTCTCTGGTCCACAGGCCGATGCTCAACCACTGAGCCAAACTGGCCAGGGCTCCTCTGCCCATTTTTTAATTGGATTGTTTGTCTTCCTTTTGTTGAGTTGTATGACTACTTAATATACTTTGAAAATTGACCCCTTATTAGATGTATCACTGGCAAATATATTCTCCCATACAGTGGGTTCCCTTTCCATTTTGATGTTGGTTTCTTCTGCTGTGCAGAAGCTTTTTAATTTGATGTAGTTCCATTTGTTTATTTTTTTCCTTTGTTTCTCTTGCCCTAGGTGGTATATCAGTGAAAATTCTGCTACATGAGATTCTGAGGTTTTACTGCCTATGTTTTTTTCTAGCATTTTTATGGTTTCATGACTTACATTCAAGTCTTTTATCCCTTTTCAGTTCATTCTTCTGTATGGTATAAGTTGGTGGTCTAGTTTCATTTTTTTTTTTTTTTTTTTTGCATACAGCTGTCCAATTTTCCAAACACCATTTATTGAAGAGACTATCTTTATTCCATTGTCTTTTCTTCTTCTTCTTTTTTTTTTTATCCTCACCCGAGGATATTTTTCCCTTTTTTTTTTTTGTACAGATAGAGTGGGAGGGAGAGAGAGGAAGGGAGAGAGAGAGAGAAACATCGACGTGAAGGGACACATCGAGTGGCTGCCACCCACACGACCAACCAGGGCCGGGGACAAACTGCAACCGAAGTACGTGCCCTTAGCGGGAACTGAACCCGGGTCTCTCCGGACCACAGGCCGACGCTTTAACCGCTGAGCCAAACTGGCCAGGGCTGTCTTTTCTTCTTTGTCAAATATTAATTGACCATAATGGCATGGGTCGATTTCTGTGGTCTCTGTTCTGTTCTGTTGATTTATATGCCCCTTCTTGTGCCAGTACCAGGCGGTTTTGACTACAATGGCTTTGTAGTATATTTTGATACCTGGTATTGTGATACCTCCAATTTTGTTCTTTTCAAGATTGGTGAGGCTATTCAAGGTCTTTTTTGGTTCCATATAAATTTTTGGAATATTTGTTCTAGATCTGTAAAATATGCTGATGGTATTTTAATAGGAATTGCATTGAAGCCCTGATGGAGGCCTCTGATGCGGTCATTTCAAATGTCCCAGTTTTGAGTTGCATTTCCTTCTCACTGTGGGATGGCACTTGGCAGGTGGTGCATGTAGATTTTGGGAATCCAAATCTGGGCAGCCCTTTTTCTTTGTTAGGGGTGTTGTAGGTCTTTGGCTCTTGGGAGGGGAGCCAACTGCTTGCCTTCTAGCTTGGCAGAGCCCTGCCAGAGATCCTGAAGTGAGGCTTGCAAGTGCATGCCTCCTCCTAGTACCACAGCTGCCTGCTGCCTGAGGCCCTGACCAGAGTGCCTTTTGTTGGGGGTGGTGCTTGCATAATCTGTTGGAGGGGGAAAGATTGGCTCTTGTTCCCAAGCCACTCAGTTCAATGTTTGTCTAAGAGTCTGTCAATAGTTTCTCTAGAAATAAAGTGCACCTCAGGTCCCTTTTGAGTACTGCCAACAATCTTTTATGCCGGACTCAAACTTGGCAGAATGGTGTTGCCAGTATTTGGAGGACACGGTTAGTGCACTTTCTCCAGCTGGTGCTATAAGAATAGAAGTGCTGGATCCTGGGAGATGATGCCTATTGGCTCAGGACTGGGATGTCAGAAGCCTGCTTTCCAGAACGCCAATGCTATGCCACTCAGATCTTCTCTTTATCGCTTCTATATGCCACAAGTCTCCTTCCCTCTACCAGAGCCCTAGGTGAGTGCCTATAGCAAGTCCCTGTGTGTTAGCCATTAAGAGATCACCTGGGATTTAAGCAGACTCCCTCCTATTTCCCAAGGATAAAATCTCTGCTTATTTTTGCTGCCAAATGCTATGCAGGTTCTTCTTCCCAGCCCTGGTGTTCTAGGTTGGGTTCTGGCATGGGATTGAGACCCCGCTTTTATCCAGGATAAGCTTTTGCAGCTGCAATATTTCTTTGGTTTCACAGCCATCGTCCCTGGGTGCAGGGACCAACCCTTTCCACATCTCTGCCCTTCTTACCAGTTTCTGTGTTGCTTCTTCTTTTCAATCCTTAGATATAATACTCCTGTTCAGGTGTCCTCCTATTGTTAATTCAGGTTAATTGCTCTAAATTTTAGCTGTATATTCAGTTCGGTGCCAGGAGGAGGTTGTGTGTTGCTTTCACCCCATTCTTCTACCATCTTTCCACCTATCTCTTATTATTTTTGTACAAACTGGTTCATAACTATTGAGGTATATCTTATCAAAGGCATTTTTTTTCTAATGCAAAAACAATTTGACTCATAAACACTAGATGAATTTATAAATTCATGATCTATCTATTTATTGAACATATTCCAAAGTCATGGATTTATAATGAATGCATCTAGTGATTTTTTTTTAAAGGGGTTTTTATAACTTCACTTGACAGAATCTCTAGAGGCTACCTTGTTTTTCATATGAAGGGTGTTGTTTCAAATGAGGGCATGGAAACCAGTAAGTATTGGCTTCTGTTTTTGTTGTACATTTTCCAGAAGGTTTTGACTGAAGACTCTATGCACTGTAGTTCTTTCCACAGAGAGCTGACTGATATTTGAGGAAGTTTTTTTATTTCTCCAAGAAAAATATGATGCATCTTTCCCAAGTTTCACTCTTGTTCTTAAATATATGTATTTTTATTTGTGGAGAAACTATACAAGGTAACTGTGTACATCAATCTACGGTAAGAATTTTAGCAATATTATTTTAGCTAGGAAAGCATGATTATATGGCTTTAAAGATTTATATTAGATGTTTGAAAAAATTAATTATACTACTCAATATAATTTATGGAAAAATTAAAGTGTTTATTTAGAGATGCTGAAACTTTGCTTAAATGATGTTATTTTTAAACTTAGGAAACCATAAACTGAAGATTGACTCTTAACCCATTTCTTGTGAAAATATTTTAAAGAAATTACAGGCCTAGGTTAAAAACTAGGCAGCAATTTTCTGATTAACTTTGATAATGAACTATCTGGTAAGTAATAAAAAAATGCACTTAAAATTTTTATTCTGTAAATTTTCATATTCCAAATACAATCTTGTGAGTGGGATATTTGAATACCTAGGATATTAGAAATTTTTATTCAAAACAATGTCAGAGTAAGAGCTAATATAGTGTATTCAATACTATTATTAGATGGGGATTTGAATGCTACATATTTAAATTTTGGGTTATATTTTTTAAATATTATGAAATGTATGTATTACTGTATGGATACCAAAATCCGAAATTCTAAGGCTAAGAAATAATAAATTCTAGGAAAGCTACAGAAAAATTAAAAATTTAATTCTCTAAAATACTAAATATTTAAGAATCCTATTTAAATCTTAAAAAAAAAAAAACAAAAAAACCCTGTAACTTAGGTTTTTGAAAACATCTAGTATGTATGTTATTATAGGAGTAGAAGAGAAGGAGCAAGAAGTTAAAAATAGATCTATGTAACAAAATGTGTTTATCTTTTTGGGGCAGATATCTTTTATAATAGGATTAGCTCTTTACCTTTTTTTCTCTGTCAAGGTCAAAGGAGGACAAAGCTTATTATTTTTTTAAATAACAGAGTTATTTAAATCAATACAATGTCTATAAAAGAATATTTTAACATTGAAGAAACCATACCCTCAACAAGAATAGATACCGTTGAGATGACAGCTGTAGTTGGCTTTTTAAAATGACATCTGTTGTTGATTTTGTATAGAAAAATTCCATGCTTTTTTTCCTGTTATTGCTGTTACCTTTGAAACCTACGAGTATTTTCTTTTTTAAATCTTTAAATACTTTAGCTTATACAAAAGTGACAATTCTCCTACATATTTCTCAATCCCCTACCCATCAACATGATTCCTAATGATTGGTGGCAGAAGGTCCATTTGGCATAGAAATGTTGTACGTATCCCATGGAACTCTCTTACTTAGTCCATGTTCAAGAAATTTCAAATTGCAAGAGGGATGGCTCAGCACTGTACCATACACACAAATGTACAAAAGTGAAAGCCACACACCCACAGCTATAGAAGGTAGACCCTAAGTGCAGTTGGCCCTCCATATCCACAAATTCTGCATCTACAGATTCAACTAACTGCAGACCAAAAATTTGGAATAAAACATTATGTTGTTGCTGATGTTTACCATTTAGTTAGGTCTACGATGGTTTTATCTGTATTAAATAGGTACAGACTTTTTGGTTTTGGTTATTATTCCCTAAACAATACAGTATAATGACTATTTACACAGCACTTACATTGTATTAGGTATTACAAGTAATCTAGATATACTTTCAAGTATTCAGAAAGATGTATATATATTGTATGCAAATACTATACCATTTTTTACATAAGGGACTTGAATATCTGTGGATTTGGGTATCTGCAGGGGCCCTGGAACCAATCCCTGTGGATACCAAGGGATAACTGTAAATTCTTTTGGAATTTAAGAAGAAAAGAGGAGAGCAAAAGCATTGAATTAACATATTTATTATTCATATCCAAAACCAAAGCATAGAGTTTATTTATGGAAGTTTAAACTAATGTGTATTTTTTCTAACGATTATCCTTGTTATGTCCTGAAATCTCTTTTCCCTTTAGTCTATTTATTGTGTACTAGACCATATAACATACTTCGTATATTTTTCTTATTTCTATTTCTTATTGTAAAGGATTCTCCAGTAGTTAACATTGTAGAGGATGTATCTCATTCAAAAGATGAAAGTAAAAGTAATGATACTGTTTATAAGGAAGATTGTGAGGAATCACGTGATATTAAAACTAAAATTACTCGAGAAGAAAAACATTTCATGTGTAGTAAGTATTACAATTATAAAGGTATATGATTTTATTATTTCTAAGGTAGACATGGAAAAAATATACCCTAGCATTTGTTTGGGTCATTTTATATATTTCCTGATTATCCTAGGCCAGAAATTTTATGTGTTTGACACATAGTATGTGCTTAGTAATATGTGGTAAATGAACAAATCCTTCTTCTACATAGTGCCGTGGCATCAAGAGATCACAGAAAGAAGGAGCAAACCAGAGGGTGCTGATAGTAGTATTGTATCAATTTGCTTAGATCGATTCTCTTAATCCCATTTGAGACAATAGGAAATTTCACCTTAGTTTTGAGGGGATAATTCATCAACTGAATAACTGCTACAATAGGTATAATAGAAATTACAACAATCCATATAACAAAGCATAAAAAATGTTTTAAATATCAATTTTTTGCTCAGAATTATTTAGTAACAATGCAGTAATTTTCATGGTCTATTATATATGCATAGGGTGGGATGAAGAAGAGGAATCAGAAATGGAAGAGGCGAGGATTTGGTCAGTTCTTACAGGACTGTAATTCCTAGTTCAAAAAGTATAAAAAGCTCACTTTAATGCGCTTAATTCTATGTATAACCCAAGTGTCTCAAGCTTCTCAAACCAGGGAGTGGAGATTTATGTCTATTAAGAACAAAATAAACTAACAAACAAAGTAGAAAGAGACTCACAGATAGAGGACAGACTGACAGCTTTTGGAGGGGAGGGAGGTTGCGGGCTGGGTGATAATGGTGAAGGGATTAAGCAAAACAACAACAACAACAACAACCCAACCCAAAAAACAACAACCAAAAAACACCTCAAAACTCATAGATACAGACAAGAGTATGGTGATTACCAGAGGGCAAGGGGGGTTGGGGGAGATAGAAGAGGCTACAACGGGGATAAATGGTGATGGAAGGAGACTTGACTTGGGATGGTGAACATAGTACAATATATGGATGATGTATTATAGAATTGTACACCTCAAAGCTATATAATTTTAACCAATGTCATCCTAATGAATAATTTAAAAAAAAATTCTTTCTTTAAAAAAAAGACTGACATTTAAAACCAGGAAAAATCTAATAGAAAGTAAGAGACAGTAAAAAAGAGAAATGAAGGCTGGAAGAGGTAGATTTTAAAATATCAAGGATTATTAATGTGATTCTACTGCTAGACTGAAAGTTAGGAACGTATAAGTAAAACAATTTTTTAAAGAATAGTGTATGCAATAATGTATGGCTCCTTTTGTTATAAAGGACATCATCAGTCCTGCTGGTGTGGCTCAGTGGTTGAGCACCGACCTATGCACCACAAGGTTGCCGGTTTGATTCCCGGTCAGGATACATGCCCAGGTTGTGGGCCCAATCCCCAGTAGGAGGGCATGCAGAAGGTGGCCAATTGATGTTCTCTCTCATCAATGTTTCTATCTCTTTCTCCCTCCCCCTTCCTCTCACTCTAAAATCAATAAAAGGAAAAAAAAAAGAATTTTCATTAAAAAAAAAAAAAAAAAAGACATCATCAGTAAAACTGGAGAAACTTGCATGAGGTCTGAGAAGTAGATGGTAGTCAGTATGTTTTTCCTGATTTTGATGGTTGTGTTGGAGAGAATGTCTTTGATGTAAGAAGTACACACTAAAATATCCAGGGACATTATGGCAGCATGCTCTCAAATAATTTAGAAAAAAGTTTTGATACTCTTCTTGTAACTATTCTATCAGTAAGATTATTTTAAACTAAAAACATTTTTAAAAGGGAAAATATGTAGTGAAAATTCAATCAGAAACTAACCAACCAAAATTTATGACTAGGATTTATGATGTGTGTATATGTATGTATGTTTGCAATTTGTTTACATAAAAATATAGCATTAATATAAAATATTAAAAAAAGGTTTATTTTAAAAATTAAATTTCATGATAGGGGGTTATTTCTTGTATCGAAAGAATCAATGAGTCTTGGACTTCCTGCTTCTATACCTCTCATCTTCTAAAGTGAGAAGTGATATTCAGAATGTTGTCTCTCAGTTATATCAGATTAAGTTATTTGGGGGGTAATCTAAATTATTAGGAAGCATAATTCCATTAAGAAATGTTAAAAAAGTTGTGTTCTGTTCATCCTGAGTTATAAAAAAAAAATACACTAACTAGAATATGCAATTCTGAGTATATTATTGTTTACACATTTATCCAAAATTGTGTAAAATTCATTATTTTTCATTGTAATTAGTTTCTATAACAATTTAATATTTGCCAAAACTTTTTATTATAATTTAAGGAAATTTGCAAAATTCTATTATTTCTTACACACGAAGTACCAAAAAACTACTAAGAAATATAATGGATGAGCAGCAAGCTTCCTTGGATTACTTATCTAATCAGGTATGGATTTTTTGGTATTGTGTTATTATATTTGCATAATGATATAGTTAGCTAGAGGTACAATCATTTATTTTTTTAAATGCATTTGTGTGCAGACATGTATTTAGTGTCCACTATATTGGAGGCACCATAGTAAACCTCAGGCAAACAGAAAACAATAACAATAAAATGGACCTTTACTTAAGGGTTATACAGTCTAGAAGAGCAGAATGATATATTGAAAATGTTGAGAATACCGTCAGAATGACACAAAAGATATCCAAGATCCAAGATTCGAGAAACTTTCCCAGATGAATAAATGCTTCCGAGGTCACAAAGGGTGGGTAAGAGGGTAGGGCATTGTAGTGTGTGGAAATACTTGGAGTTGGTGCAGGGGTGGAGTGGCTGTTAAGTTAAGGATGTAGAAGAAAAACTGACTTAAAGAAATAGGAATTAAGTCATGCCACATCAACGAGTCACCCAAATGTCTGAACAGAGCAATGAAATGATTATATTGGCAGCTGGTGTGAAGGATGATTTGAGGAGGAGCCAAGGGGGTAGGGATTCCATATAGGGAACTACAGCAATAGTTCTGGCAAGATATCAAGAACAGATTTGCAAGAGCATTCAAGTGCAGAAATGGGCAGATAAAAACAAGAACAGTCCTGAATTTAATGGTTGCTATTTAGCTATGCCTTTACTGCTGTGTTAAACAATAAAGAGTTCAATGTAGAAAAATGGCCATTATATATGTTTCAGTATTGGATTTATAAGAGGCTAAGAGGTATCAGTCATAGAATTCAGCGAAAGGAGGTTTGTTCAAATATAAATTTGCTTAAATGTATGCATGTGTATTTAGGTTAATGAGCTCATGAATCGAGTTTTCCTTTTGACTACTGAAGTTTTTAGAAAACAGCTGGATCCTTTTCCTCACAGACCAGTTCAGTCACATGGTGAGAACTTTGGTATTTCAGCCTTTTCATACTTATCCTTTTATTGCTTAAAATTTTCCTGGACAGGTTGAAGCATTTAGAAGTTTTGTTTTAAAAATACAGCTCACTATTATCTAACAGACTGGAGGAGAAATGCCTGCCATTAAGCAAATTTCAACCCATACTATGTGTACTTTCCTAAATCTGACCCTTTGAAAGCCATGATTGTGTACAGATATTCTGAATCTGTTGAAAATAGTAGTTTTACATAATTGAATTTGGCCCCCTCATTACATTTTATTAATAATTTTAGAAGAAAAAAAGTTTCAGAGTTCCACCCACCTATAAAAAATATTTTTGACATTTGAAATGTTTCCAATTGGGACTTAAAACTTGAAGAGAAAAAAGAAAAGAGACAGAAATAAACCAGAATTTAACACTTCTTGTACTAAAATACAGTATAGTCATTTCTAGAGGCTTGGATTTCTAAGAAAAATGCCCTTACAAATAATGAATTAATATAAAAAGTTTCAAGCCGATAAATATTTTTGAGGGCCTAGTAGTCTATGATCTCTCTTTATTCCTTACCAAGGGAAGAGAATAAACAGTTACTGAGAACCTCCTATGTTTCAGGTATTAAAATAGGCACTTTTACATGTTATTTTGTTATTTTATTGCATCTCACTTATGTCTCATAACCACCCTAGCTAGGTAGTGTTATGTAGCAGTGAAGGACATGGAGTCTGATGTCAGATGCTTTCTTCAAATCCCTCACCCACTGTTTCCCTAATATCAATGTCCTCATCTGTAAACTGACAATACTACCTACCTCATATGGTTAAGAGGATTAAATGAGTAAGTACACGAAAAACTCCTAAAATACTATCTGATGCGTATTAAGACAATATGATAATTTGCTGTGATGGCAGTCATCACCAGATGAGGAATATGCAGCCCAGAAAAATCTATGGAATCTGTTCACACTTTTTGGTTGGTGATGTCAAAGCAGTTATTCCAACCCAGATCAGTCTGTCATCGGGAACTTCTATCATATCTTTGAGCATAAATTTATTATAAGAATGTATTAGCAATTCAGAACAAAGGCAACAAATCAATGTCTCCTGGAAATGAAGGGAAAAGCAAACAATTTTATAATTGATTTTTTTGTAGATTCATCTTTTGAGTATTTACTATGTGCTAGGCTCTGTGCTCTGTGGTTTACATAAAGCCTTCTGATGTAAATCATCAGAATAACACTACAAAGTAGATATGATGATGATGATATTACACATGAAGAAAAGAGGTTAAGTAACTTAACTAATGTTCTCAATTAGTAAAGAATGGAATTAAGACTCTGTCTAACCCAGGCTTCTGGCTCTAGAGTCCTAAGCTTTTACATGCTTGTTTTTCTGGGTAGTTGACACTTGTAAGGGTTGAACTTATTTTATTAGATTTATAAAAGATAACACAGAGTAAAGTATCTTCAGAGTAAAATTTAATGTCCATATCTACATAAATACAATGTGTTAACAATTCCCTGGCAATGTAGAATGCTTTGAGGAGAGTGATTATAGGGTGCTACAGTTCTATTATCAATGGAGCAGGCTCTAGCTTCAAGCACAGTTTCTTCTTGGTGAAGAAAGTGATTTTCCCTTTCTCTCTCTTTGCTGCTTGTGGTGGTGGTACTCAACACATCAGAGTTTCTGAAGTTTGAATAGAGTAGTAGTTGTCAGTAGTAGTTGATCTATTTAATTCCTTTGGGTTTTCTCCTTCCCATACATATAGATTACTTGCACACGTTATGCTCCCAAGATAAGTCTAGATTCTTGAAAGGGCATTATTTATTGGGCAAAAGAATGTATAATTATAAAATATATTAAGTAACTGTTGATCTCAAGTGAAACAAACAGTATTAAATACTAATAACTAACAGGTATGTTATGTTTATTATAGCATATGTTTTTCAATCCCAGATCTTTTATATATTTTCTTATTTCTAAAATTGAATAATTTTTCATTTCCAAGACTTAAAATCATCATATCATTAATGGAAATTATAATAATTTCAGAGAGCACTTTTAATTCTTCACAGCAAAGTTATTGTCTTAAATGTATACTTTAAAATATCCTAAATAACTTATTTTACTTTTCTAGGTTTAGATTGTAGTGATATTAAAGATACCATTGGCTCTGTCACCAGAACACCAAGTGGTTTATATATAATCTATCCGGAAGGATCTAGCTACCCATTTGAGGTAAAGTTTTCCCTTATTATATGAAATAGGATAAGTGTGCAACCAACTTAATTAATGTTAAAATTTGTTTAAATATTTAATTTTTTCTTGAAAATTTTAAAATAAATTAGAAGTTCCAGTTTCAAAATTTTGGTTGTTTGAAATTCTTTATCCAAACCACAAATGTGTAAAAAAACTAGAGAGTCTTTCACTTTCCTATTTGAGCTTTCATGGTTATATTCTTCAAAGTAAATCCATTTGGTGCAAGATCTTATATTATCCTTCAAGTAGGCAGAATTGTGCAATATAAATACTTACTTGCTTTAATTAGCTTATGGATATTAGAAAATAATGGTGGCTTTGCCTTGGAGCTTATGAAAAATACTTTTGATTTGCCTTCCTATATATGGTTATAATTTATTTGTATGACAAGTGATTTTATGTGATTGTATAAGAAATTAATAATTAAAAATATTCATTAAATTGAATAAAATAAATTACTGATATCTATTCTTAGTAGTTCTATACTAGGATTTCTAGAATAAATTTCAACTAGAAATTGTGTTATATATTATGTATATAATTTTTTTGAGTATGTTTTTATGCCTAAGAAAGTTTATAACATTAGTATCACACTTTGTTGATAGTCTTTATTACACAATAAAGTTTTTTTTCTAAGTAGATACTACCAGTTTCTCTTCTTAGAATTACTAACATTATTTTTTGACACCTACTCACAAGATGTCAAAAAATTAGAAATTAGGTGAGAAATACATTTTAAATTACTTAACTCAAAATGGACCAGAACAGATGTGGAAAGGGAAGGCTTCTAATTTTTGAAGCGTAGGATACATAATTACCTCTTTGTGGGAAAGTGTTGGTTCACTAACTTCCTCTACACTGCCTTTCTCTGTGCAGCAGGAAGTTTCTAATGGAGAGGTTACTCTGATTTCCTCTCTGTCACTTCTATGGGCTCCCTACAGTTGTCCTCTTGGGGGCATTTTACACAGTACCAACAGATACACCTATGAACGCCTGCTGAGATGCGACACAGATCATGCCTTTCTGTGGGAGAATTCCAGTCTAAACACAGTCCTTCCAGGCTTTAGGAGAAAAGAACACTCAAAGACAGGCACGTGGACATAGTTAACAGTTTAAAACAAAAAATCAACATTTTTAATTCAAAAGGAACGTTAATCTTATCAGTGTTCTTATTAATCAACTGAAAAATATTTCGTGTTAGGGAATAAGAGAATAACCTTAAAATGCTACAACCAATTATATATTTTTAAAAATGACGGATACAAGGACTGTACTTCAGTTAACTACAAGTTTATTTTATGAGAAACAAAATTATTTCTAGATATTAAGAAAATAATATATTAATATCATGCAGTTGCTCTGAAACTTTCAGTGAAAGTATCTTTTTTCTCTAGACTTAAGGGTGAAGCATGAGTTTTATATCAAAGAATGAAAATCATAGTGTGTTATTTTTGTCTTTTCTGGGTCTATTTTAGGTAATGTGTGACATGGATTACAGAGGAGGTGGATGGACTGTGATACAGAAAAGGATTGATGGGATAATTGATTTCCAAAGGTTGTGGTGTGATTATCTGGATGGATTTGGCGACCTTTTAGGTCAAATTACATTATTTTCCCTCTATCATTTTTCTTTTTTTCTGGTATTATACCTTTAGACTGTCTCTTGGTCAAATTGTTAGTAAAAAATAGTAAATCCTTGTGAATATCAAAATATGACTAAATCCCTTTCTCCTAATATGCCAAAATATTTAAAATAAAGTCTTGCCCAGCCAGCATTGTCCTGTGGACTGAGAGGTCCTGGTTTGATTCCAGGTCACATGCCTGGGTTGTGGGTTTGATCCCCAGCAGGGGGAGTGCAGGAGGCCACTGATCAATGTATCCCTCTCACATTGATGTTTCTCTGTCTCTCTGTAAAAAATCAATAAAAACATATTAAAAAATAAAATAAGTAGGTCTTCAGCTGGAATTTGGAAATCTTGAATTTTAGATACCTGCTGAAATGTGATTTGAACAAAAATTTTAAATTGGGTGTTTATTAAGTATCTGCTATGTACCTAGCAGAGTTCTGGCATATGCTCACCAACTATTTGTAGAATGAAAAACTGCATGGGCATGGTTGTCAGAAACCTTGGATTCTTCAGATGTGGGTTGTGTCTACATAAGTAAATGAAATGGAGAATTTAGGTATGTGGCTGTACAAATCCAAGTCATGTGAATTGGGAGTAGTATTTTATAAAAATATCAATTGAAATCACTATGGCCAAAATTTGAAAAATGTAAACCTCAGGTTGATTGTACATTCTGTTAACATTATCGCCACACAACACCATAACTTTGGCTGGTAAATAGAAATATCAATATTTCTGAATACTGTAGATTTTACATTAGTTGGAATGTTTACAGGTGATTTCAATCATTTTTATGCTATTTTAAGTTACTGTTGTTATAATTTAAATTTTTAGCATTCCATAATAATGTCATCCAAGGATTTAGCACTGAATGCCAGTGATTTTAGAAGGGACAAGAAATGTAATAAAATGTTATGTATAAGGCCAAATAGCTGCCATGTTATGAAGTGCAGCTAATATACTTGTATTTTCTCAGCATTAACCTTTAAATTTCCAGTGAGTGTTTCTTCCTGAATTCAGTCTTTGGAATGCCATCTTCCTTACATTACACTTATTTCTATGGGGAAATTTCTATGGGGAGTTTTGACAAAAAGGTCTTGAGGCAGTTATCTTTCACTTAAACAGACTGCTTTGTATTTTATACATACATACATATTTAAAAAGTTGGGATTATGTTAAATATATTGTCAAGTCTTAAATTTGGGGTGGTGGTAGAGGGGACAGATGGCAGGGACATCTAAAATGGACAGTCATAGACCTGAGACACTACACAGACCCCTAGAGACCCATCTTACTTCCTGTACTTCCTTATTACCTCCTTTTTTTTCTATACTTCTTCAGGATAATTTTCAATTCTAAGTGGGTGTGTAGCTAAAATACCCCTGTAAGCCCTGGAGAGGGACTTAGTATCTTGGCTATAGTTTTAGAGCTTGAATGCTGTCACACTGTCCCCCAACTCTTTGAATTTTATTTTGACTAGACCCTTACTTCCTTCAGTAATTTCGTGATTCAGGTAGAGAAATATATTTCAGAACAGGAGTATATACATTTAGGCTATGCCATGGTTGGTGGACAAAGTCGAAAGCCATTGGCTAGAACATGTAAGAAGTATGCAGTCTGAATTAGTCTGAAGTGGCTTTTTATTGATATGTTTTAAGGTAAAACTTGACTTTTTACTTAATTCATCTTTAAATGAAATTTTAAATTTAATTTGGGGAAATAAAAATGAAAGTCTAGTTATTCCCAGTGTAGTGAAGTAGCAGTGGGAAATTTTATTTATTTATTTAGCAAATTAGGCGAACACTGATAATTTCACGAGGTCCATCCAGTCTCTGTGAAATGTGAACCATTTCAGAGTAATTGAAATGTTAAACAACATCAAACACTAAATAATAAAGTGTTATTCTAATTTGTATTAAAACATACTTTAAAAAGCTGTTTTATTTTCACAGGTGAATTTTGGCTAGGACTAAAAAAGATTTTTTATATAGTAAATCAGAAAAATACGAGTTTCATGCTATATGTGGCTTTGGAATCTGAAGATGATACATCGGCTTTTGCATCATATGATAATTTTTGGCTAGAGGATGAAACAAGATTTTTTAAAATGCACTTAGGACAGTATTCAGGAAATGCTGGTAAGTTTTTCATTCCTAAAATTATCCAGAAGATTTAAATATAACTGAATCAATATTAGGTGAAGATAAAAGTAATGCATTTTCTTGGTATATGACACATAACTGATAACAGAAAAAATTAGGAATGAGAAAACTGGCCAGGTTTTGAATTTTGAAACTGAGCTATGCATGTTGCTCTACATCACGGTTTTGAAGTGCTTTATACTCTTTAAAACAATTTGCCACTTGTAATCTCAGTCGATTCTTTAGATAGAGAGCCTGTGGGTTAGACTTGGAAGATATTATTGACATTTTCATGTTCAGAGAGGCTGACATTTAGAAGTCATAAAATGTTAGAGCTGATCTTCACTCTTCTCACTTTACAGGTGAAGAAACCTGAAAGGTTAAGTGATTTGCCCAAGATTCCCTGCTCATCACATCTGAGCCAGGGCAAGAACCCAGGTTGATAGAATAACTAGTTTAGTGTTTTTTCACTATACATCGATGCACCTACTCATTTCCAAATAAACTTAACTTGTTAGAACTTGAAAATACTTGATGTTAAATTTCTATTTTGATGTTAAAATTTTAAATGTGAGTTAAATACTAAAATCAACTGTCTTGTTGCTCACCATGGTACTTGTTCATTATGTATTTTTAGCACTAGAAATCCAAAAATAAATCACATATATGCCTAAGTCTTTAAGTGATCAAAATAAAGAGGGTTAGATAAATACAACAGAATAAATAAAACAGAATATTGATAGTGCTTTGAGGGTTAAAAGAAAGGAAAAAATTACTATTTTGCTTTACTACCCAATGAAAGAGAAAACAAGTTGAGCAGACCATATTTAAAGAAACTCTCTGCTCTACTAAAAGTATTATATAAAATGTATTATTAAAAATTAATTTTGTTGAATATAGAAATCAGTTGAATGCATTAACTATTCTATATGCTGTGAATTGGAAGACTTGCTTGAAATAGTAATGTGTTTTTCACAGTGCTGTCTGATTTTCAGCTTCATTGTTCCTATACTTGGTTATTTAAAAAAAAAAATAGTCAAGTTACATGTAATTAAAGGGTAAATACTATTTATTTAGGTACAGTATACTAATCTCAAGATCTAAATTCAATTGAAAGATGATTTGATTTTTATAGACATGTAGGTGAGAAAAATGGATAAACTAAAATGTATGCCAAGTTGTCATAGAGATCAGTATGTGAAACTAAAGCATTTTGTTCATGAAAAAATAAAGGAGGAAAAATGATTACAATTGATTGCACACAGAAAAATCATCCTGGAAAGGTAGTTTTCAACAAGTGGTTAATATTTGATTCAACCTGGGAAGCTTTTGAAAGTCCTTCAGAATTTGAATCAGTAAATTTGGGCCCAGATTTTGCCATATTGCAATCTGGAGGAGAGTTTGCAATATGACAGTTTGTAGAACATAATTTAATCTCATTTCTAGATGCAGTGCTTTTGCATAATAGGCTGGTAAAGGTCAATTAAAAATTATAAAATGTGCCTTTAAATTTATTCATTTACAAAATCTATTTGACCCAGGTGATGCATTTCGGGGCTTCAGAAATGAAGATAACCAAAATGCAATGCCTTTCAGCACAGCAGATGTTAATAATGATGGATGTCGTCCCACATGCCTGGTCAACGGCCAGTCTGTGAAGAGCTGCAGTCACCTCAATAACAACACTGGCTGGTGGTTCAACCAATGTGGTCTAGCAAATTTGAATGGCATTCATCACTTCCCTGGAAAATTGCTTGCAAGTGGAATTCAATGGGGCACATGGACCAAAAACAGCTCACCTATCAAGATTAAATCTGTTTCAATGAAAATTAGAAGAATTTACAATCCATATTTTAAGTAATTTCATTTTAAATTGTAATGAATGTTCCATAGTTATTTTTGATAATATATAAAATATTTTATATAGTTTCTCTTTTTACTGAGTGTTTCAAACATTTTAACCAAATTTTAACTATAGATGACATCTAGGGAGATTAAGAGTGTTATTAGAAACCCTTAATTTTGTAGAGTTTTAATAAAAGAAAACACGGCTCAATGTATGCTTTTATTACTAACTATATTAATAACATGTAATAAAATTTGTTTTAAGTAAATTATGACATCTGGAGTCTATTGTCTTTTTAAAGCATTAAACCGTCATAGATTATTAGGAAAATTGGAGAGAACATTATACTTATTTCTATATTTATTCTAAATGGTAGGTATATAATCTACAGATAATTTCTATTGAAGACAATTATAAGGAATAACTTTGTGCTGATTAATATATAAACTTCATATGGTTTAAATCTTACTATTTCCAGATGATTCCACAATATTTTATAGGTAATAAGAATTTGCTGCAAAAATAAGGTCTTTCCTGTTTTCTTTTTTTAAAAACTTTATTATTGTATTACAGATGCCCCCCCCACCCATTGTCCCCATTACCTCCCTCTACCTGATTCCCGCCCCACCCCAGGCCTTCACCACCCTATTGTCTGTGTCTGTGTGCAATGCATATATGCACAAAAGCCCTTTGGTTAATCTCTTCCCACCCCCCATCCCTCTGAGATTTGTCTGTCTGTTCCATGTTTCTATACCTCTGCTTCTATTTTTATTTATCAGTTTAATTTGTTCATTATATTCCACATATAAGTGAGATCATGTGATATTTGTCTTTCTCTGGGCTTATTTCACTTAGCATAATCATCTCCAGGTCCCTCCACACTGTCCCAAAGGGTAATAGATTCTTCTTTTTTCACAGCTGCATAGTATTCCATTGTGTATATGTACCACAGCTTTTTTATCTACTCGCCTACTGATGAACACTTGGGCTGTTTCCAGATCTTAGCTTTTGTAAACAATGCTGCTGTGAGCACAGGGGTGCGTATATTCTTTCTGTTTGGTGTTTCAGGCTTCTAAGGATATATTCCTAGAAGTGGGATCACTGAGTCAAATGGCAGTTCCATTTTTAATTTTTTGAGGAAACACCACACTGTTTTCTATAGTGGCTGCACTAGCAGTATACTAGAGTCCCCTTTTCTCCACACTCTCGCCAGCACTTATTGTTTGATGATTTATTGATGGTAGCTATTTTGGCAGGTGTGAGGTGGTACCTTGCTGTAGTTTTAATTGCATTTCTCTGATGGTTAGTTACATTGAGCATTTTTTTATATGTCTCTTGGCCATTGGTATGTCCTATTTGGAGAAGTGTCTATTAAGTTCCTCTGCCCATTTTTTTTTTTTTTAATCCTCACCTGAGAACATTTTTGCATTTATCTTCAGATAGAGTGGGAGGGAGAAAGGGGGGAAGAGAGAAAGAGAAACACTCATGTGAGAGAGACACATCCACAGGCTGCCACCCACACGACCCCAACCGGGGCTGGGGACAAACTGCAACCGAGGTACATGCCCTTAGTGGGAACTGAACCTGGGACTCTCTGATCTGCAGGCTGATGCTCTAACCGCTGAGCCTACCTGGCCAGGGCCCTCTGCCCATTTTTAATTGGATTGTTTGCCTTTTGTTGAGGTGTATGAGTGGTTTATATATTTTGGAAATTAACCCCTTATTAGATGTATCACTGACTAATATGTTCACCCATACAGTGGGTTCTCTTCATTTTGATGTTTTTATTTTAATTTTATTTTTTTTTGCTGTGTAGAAGCTTTTTAGTTTGATGTAGTTCCATTTGTTTATTTTTTCCTTTGTTTCTCTTGCCCTAGGTGATATATCGGTGAAAATTCTGCTACGGGAGATATCTGAGGTTTTGCTATCTATGTTTTCTTCTAGGATTTTTATGGTTTTATGACTTATATTTAAGTCTTTTATCCATTTTGAGCTTATTCTTGTGTATGGTGTAAGTTGGTGGTCTAGTTTCTTTCTTTCTTTTCTTTTCTTTTTTTTGCATACAGCTTTCCAATTTTCCCAACACCATTTATTGAAGAGACTGTCTTTACTCCATTGTTTTTTTTCTTTTGTCAAATATTAATTGAGCATACTGACTTGGGTTGATGTCTGGGTTCTCTGTTCTGTTCCACTGATCTATATGCCTGTTCTAGTACCAGTATCAGGCTGCTTTTATTACAATGGCTTTGTAGTATAACTTGATATTCACTGTTGTGATCCCTCCACCTTTGTTCTTCTTTTTCAAGATTGCATGGCTATTTGGAATCTTTTTTGGTTTCATAGAAATTTTTGGATTATTTGTTCTAAATCTGTGAAATATGCCTTTAGTATTTTAATAGGGATTGCATTGGATCTATGTTTATTGTAATACTTTTATTCTTGTTTGTAATAAATTTACTGTACATTTATATCCTGATCAGTTGCATTTAAAACACATTTACATCTTTCTCTTTTGAAGCCAATAGAAATGGTATGAACTTTAAGTGAAGGATAGTGGAAAAAGAGTGATGAATCAATGATTACAGGTGGCTCTGGAAAACTGGTCTCTCTCACTTTTTCCACTAAGTTGAAAGGAGTTGGAGTGGTAAGACTTCCATAGGAAAACACAGCAGAAAACATGCTGGGCTAAGTGACAGTTATCAATAAGAAAGATGAGGAAAACAACCAAGAATTAGCATGAAATGGAGAAGTACTTTGTCCAGAGTTAGGATTATACAATGTACAAAGAGGATAGAAGTAGCTGAAAAATGAGGTGTGAGGAGGACAGAATTAAAATATTTATGAGCCCTGCCTGGGTAGCTGAGTTGGTTGGAGCATTGTCCTGATAATCTAAGGTTGTGGGTACGTCCCCAGTCAGGGCACATACAAAAAGCAACTAATGAGTGCATACATAAAGTGGAACAACATATCTATGTTTCTCCCTCTCTTGAAATCAATTAAAAATTTAAAAAAATACATAGGAGGATATAGGTATCTGGGTGAAATCTGAGCCCAGAATAGGGCTAACTGAGATCAAAACACAGAATCTGATTTGAGTTACAGGATGGGCAAAATGATACGGTCATCATTCAAAATTGCTTTCACTTTGATCTTGTCCCCAAGCAGTGAATAAATCTTGTACAGAATTTACATAAGATAAGGCTGCAAGAGCAGGAACATGCTTCCCCATGTGCCTCTCAGAGAGGCACAGCTGAGGTTTGGGTTGGAGGAGCACAGAACTGTGGGTTCACTGCCTTTCACCACGGTGATTTGTACACCAGAAAATTCCATCTACAAATTAAGGAAACCATGTTGCTACTTAGCAAGCCACATTTAATGTGTGGATTCTGGACCTTGAAATTCTTATTGAGCTTGCACAGGGCAATCTCCTTTATTGCACTGCAAGGTCTAGGGTCTTCAGAGTTTTAGGCTTACCATAAAGACTATAGAGATAATGGAAACTCTTGAGTATAAAAGCAGAATGGGAATACATGCTGAGATGTTAAGGAAAGGACAAATCCAGAGAGCAGCAAGATATTTTACTTTCTTTAGGCTTGGGAGTGGGAAGATGCATATGATTTTGAATGGCTAAGGGAAATAACCTCCAGGATGCCTTGTGAAAAGCTGTGAAACTATTAAGGGGCTTCAAACCCCACTGTAAAGGAGAAGGCATAACTTGGGTAATAATCCTGAGCTTTGGACTCCCCAAAATAAAGTGACTTGACCCATAGAAGTTAAGTGATTAATATAGCTGGTCCCTTTTCACTATCTACTGCCTCAACAGTATGCATGTATGTCTTAGAAGGAGGCATTAAAGGTCTTGATCATATGCCTGTGATGTGAATGACATCATTATAGAGTTATTCTTTCAGGATCTGAGAACCTTCCTGGATAAATGGTCCCATTTAAAAATTAAAATATTTAATTCTTTCGTCAACTTAACATTTTAATTACCAGTAAATATGGAAACTATGTTCACTTAAAAGTCAAAAGCCTTGGCCGGTGTGGCTCAGTGGTTGGGCGTTGTCCCATGCACCAAGAGGTCACAGGTTTGATTCCAGCTCAGGGCCCATGCCTGGGCTGCTGTCTTGATCCCCAGCAGGGGGCGTGCAGGAGGTAGCCAATCTATGTTTCTCTCTCATTCATGTTTCTCTCTCTCTCCCCTCTCCCTTTCTCTAAAATCAATAAAAACATATTTTATTTTGTTTTTTTTATTCTCACTCGGGGATATTTTTCCATTTTTTGGTTCAGGTAGAGTGGAAGGGAAAGAGAGGAAGAGAGAGAGAAACATCGATGTGACAGGGACACATCAAGTGGCTGCCATCTGCACGACCCAACCAGAGCCGGGACACACTGCAACTGAGATACACGCCCTTAGTGGAAACTGAACCCGGGTCTCTTGAGACCGCAGGCCAAAGCCCTAACCGCTGAGCCAAACTGACCAGGGCAATAAAAACATATTTTAAAAACATCAAAATAGAAACATACAAATCTGAAATTCTCTATACCATCATAGATTAATTATAAATAGAAAAAAGTTAACATAATAGCTTTGAGAATTATAGTTCTTAGAAGTAGTTGAAAAGCAAGTAATGATCTATTTAAAAATAACTATAAAGCATTACCTAGAAACATAAACAACTCTAGATAGCAACAGAATCATGATCTTTGATTAGGAGACTCACTGCAAAGGTCCCTAGATGTATGAAGTTGAGTCGTGGGTGTGAGAACCAAGGACAGTTTGGAGCTGCAGGAACAATGTGTGAAGAGGACGTAGGTTGTTTCAGAGGGTCACTGACACACACTGCCTCGCTGGCAGATATGACAGGTTTTATTGAGGAAAAAATGTATGGGCTGGTAGATGGGAGAGCCTACTGATCTTAATGAACAGTGTGCTCTGGGAGGTCAGTTTTGTAACAAGATAAGCTTCAGGGTTGAGAAAGTGGCCTCGTTCAAAAGGGGAGTCCAGCCCTGGCCGGTTTGGCTCAGCGGTTAGAGCGTCGGCCTACGGTCCAGAGAGACCCGGGTTGGGTTCCCGCTAAGGGCGCGTACCTCGGTTGCAGTTTGTCCCCGGCCCTGGTCGGTCCTGCAGGTGGCAGCCACTCAATGTGTTCTTTTCACGTCGATGTTTCTCTCTCTCTCTCTGTTCCTCTCTTCTCTCTCCCACTCTACCTGAACAAAAAATGGAAAAGTGTCCTCGGGTGAGGATAAAAAACAAAAACAAAAGGGGAGTCCACTGCAGCTCGCTGGCTGGCGCCTGCTCTTCCCGCCGAGCCACTGCAGGGCTGCTGAGCCTGCTCTTCTGTACGCTACCGAGAGAAGGGCGATGATGAGCCCCAAGGCTACGCAGGTGTTCTCTTTAATTT